CATATTTACTAGTATATATACTATATATTATATATATTGATTATTTATGATATATTATAAGGGTGTATAGTACACGCTTCCTGGATAAGTAGTATAGTACTACATGCACCTGTTATATGCCGAGAGTCTTGTAGATTCTGACATGATGGGAAGGCACTGGAGTCCCGCGCAATCTTTTGGGATTGCTTGCGAGGTTCAGAGAAGCGTGTCGTAATCAAAGTGCGAGTATGTTCCAGGCTGTGAGCGGATGTAGGTATCAGCCCGTTCATGCGATAGCTGCTTACATCGTCCGGCAGATCACCTGCAACTCAGTCAAGGTGTACTTATTCGATTTTATACAATCGGCAACATATCGGTCTCTCAATGACTTATGTGGATCTTACATTTGCGGATAGCACATTATTGATGCTTGGATCAGATCTGTGTTCTTGTTAAGTTTTTGTGTGTTTAAGTATGATTCCGTCGCCGTGTGAAACGGCGAGCGGTCATGTGGGATGTACGTATTCCTTACCACTAGACTTGTTTATATGATAAGGAGACAATTGGGCTACTTGGCAAGGGCATGTGCTGTGTTTAGCTTGCTTCTGCAAAAACGAAGGATGCACTTGGTGCATGTAAGTGAGACATTCGTTGGGTGGAGAAGTGAATAGAAGAAATGGACTGAGGAAAATGAGAGGAAGAATTTTGTGGAGATCAGTGCTAGTCGAGATGAGAATGCTGGCAGCGCGAGAGGGTAGGAGTGATGAGGATATATATAACGACATGATACTTGCGAATCCACAGTGTGGTTCGTAGGAAGCGATCATTAACACCACTTCACCAGGGTCTGATGGAGGGTCTAGCTAATTGATGGCATTACTGTGTTAAGTCTAGGGTAGAGTGGGTTAGACTGCATGATGTATCTCGTATGGTTATTCTGATAGGTTGGAATGCGGAAGGATGTTTCTGTATGCTATGACTGGGTGGATCATGTATGATTATCATGTTTATGCGATTTATGTTATCTTGTGGCGGACTGCTATGAGGATTGTATGCATGCCATCGAGCCGAGACGTGGTATAGACGTGGATTCATCATGCGTGTGATGCGGGCTCATGTGGATCGGTAGTCGTGACTTCGGGGCAGGTGAAGAATGTATCAGTGTCATGATTATCATGTTAGGAACCGTGTTATCTGTTGAGCGGGTGATCAATGTATCAGGGTGATGATTATTATGCTTGCATGCAGTAGTGGTCTACTCCGGTAGCACTGGATTGTATCATGTTGATGTAGATACAATATAGTAATGACAGAATCGTTATACTGGTTGAGCTGGATGATGTGCATCATGTATGATGTCATGTTACCTATGCCCCATGTTATCGTGTTGACTGAGATGTTGATGTATGGGTGATTGATATGTTATGCGCATCATGGTTAGACACTATGGTATCGTGTCTGACCGTCGATCTGACGCGTACCTGCGAGGCGGTACGCTGCAGGCGACACAAGAAGGATGCAGAATCGATCCTTTCGGACGCTGCGTGGGCACGATGCTGGCTCGCTCTCATTCTAAGACTAGCCTATAGAGGTCATCGGCTGATTGATTTGAATATGAAGACTAGACGGCGAGCTGCGATAAATGATGAATATATAGAGGCCATAAATACGAGCATGGGCAGAGGGAATTGATAAGAACAGAAGGGACGTCAAACATTTGCACGGACTCGTGGCGGACTCAGAGAATTGCGCGAGGGGGCGATGGTAGACTGACCGTGGCGTCGCGAGGATAGCGTGTGATTGTGGGATGCGTAAGCGAGGAGGGTCCTGGGTGCGGCAGTGCAACGGGTGCGGAGTACGTTTGTTACGAGTGCAAGCCAACGGATGTCACACGCACACTTCACGCGGTATTGCTCGGACTTGACATCAGTCGGAATGCCGGGGTTTAGAACACTCTAGGGTACGGTGTTTGGTTAGCTTCGTCCGTAGGCAGGTTTTCCCACAGAGCCGCATAACATTGCTTGCAGCGGTGTTACCTGGTGCACTCGGGGCTGTACCACAGCACGCACGCAAGCAGCGGCACGCAAAGTCAGCGCGCATCGGGACGGGGCACACACCACACACACACAACACACACACACACAAACACACACCACATACACACTCGCGTAGGCGGAAGAGCACAGCACGCAGCAGCACGTGTACGAACGCGCGAAGCGGCAGAACCGAAGGCGACCAAGAACCACAAACACAACAACCCACAGCAGAGACGGAACGGGCAAGGAGAGAGAAGACGGCACAACACGACCCCGGCCAAACAGGCGAAAAAAAGACCAGCACGACACCGGAGACAACAACAAGCTACACACTTCCCCGCGCACGTACGGCCGCCGCACGCACGCACGCCCGCACGCACCACACACACACATATACACACAACACACAGCACACACCACACACACACACCACAAACGCACACAAGCACGCTCACACCAATGAAACTACCAAACGTTGCCGGGCTTGATGTGATTATTTTTGTGTGACTTTGGTGAGTTCTTTATTTGCTCTCTTTTTTTTTTTTTTGGTATTTTTTTGGAGAGAGAGAGAGAGAGAGAGAAAGAGAGCCTGAGAGAGAAATAAAAGCGAACATATGTAAAGGAACTCGCAATTCTGTTGCGCGAAGAAGCAATATAGCAATATATCTTATATTTTATCTATAAGATAATATAGCAATATATCTGATATTTTATCTATAAGATAATATAGCAATATATCTGATATTTTATCTATAAGATATTATAGCAATATATCTTATATTTTATCTATAAGATATTATAGCAATATATCTTATATTTTATCTATAAGATAATGTAGAGCCTGCACGTTGCACGCAGCGCGAGCAAGGCTAAATGCTTTCACGGATTCTTTACAGATTCACGCGATACGATATTCTCACGGGAACATCACGTGGGCGGCGGTGTCGCTCTATCTCACATGCACGTCGCCTGGAAAGGCGTTCTCCATTTGCCTGACTATGCCGCGATTTCTTGATCCGTATGAATATTGCATGAGCAAGCGGCAACTCTCTCTCTCTCTCTTTCTCTCTCCCTCTCTCTCTCTCGCTCTCTCTCTCTCTCTCTCTCTCTCTTTCTCTCTCGCGCTCCCTCTCTCGCTCTCTCTCTCTTTCTCTCTCTCTCTCTCTTTCTCTCTCTCGCTCGCTCGCTCGCCCGCACTATCTCCCCGCTCTCACTCCGCCTTTCTCGCGCCTTCTATTTCTTGCTCTCTCCCTCTCTCCTCCCGCTCTCGCTCACTTTCTCACCCTTTCTGTCTCCGTGGCCATAAATCTGCCAGCACTTTCTCGCGGGCTCTCGCGACGTTATAAGTCAGAAAAGATTGATCGAAATGCATAATTCATTAGAGCACATTTACAGCCTCTGCACAGGTTTACGACAGAAATGAACAGCTCGCCACAACGCATGCGCAGTGCCGTGATCCACAACCGGACATCAGGGTCGTTACTCGGTCTGATAGTATCAATACGAGAGCTTATTTGGGCCAATTAATAAGTTTGGCTAACCTTTAAGCCCCAACCAGTTGTACATCACTATCCACCTATCCGACACTGTGCGCACCTTTGCCTGATACGATTGTCGACTCGCGATAACCGCCCCCTAGCGGCCTCTAGTGGCACAACTTACAGAAAAAGCAGAAGTAGGATGTGCTGTGATTGTCGACGCGCGATAACTCCGCCCATTAGCGGCGCAATAATAAGGACACATATATTACAACTTGGGCACAACTTACAGAGAAAGCAGAAGTAGGATGAGCTGTGGCAGATGAACTTAATGAAGGGTTTCCGCAGCATGCGCCCGGGTCCGTTCTTCGGCGCCAGGAGGTAGAATAGCGAGAAGAACGGGAAGCAGATACCGATGCAGAGTATCATCGCAAACTGTAACAGCAAGCAGCAGCAGCACTGTGTAACAAGGTGAAGGTGATCTATAGATACCTATATATATATATATAATATATATATATATATATATATATATATATATAATATACTATATATATATAGTATAATGCGATAGATAATAATAGGTATCTATGCGGGATGATTCCTTCAAACTTCCAAAATTTATCTATGATGTATGTGTCAAGTTATAGCATTATATATATATATATATCATATATCTGTTGTGTGTGTGTGTGGTGCGTGCGTTGCGTGCGTCGCGTGCTCGTGGGCGGCTCGCGCGCCGTCGCGTTGCGTAGCCGTGCGGAATGCTGTGTGCTGTGTTGTGTGTGTCGTGGTGATGTGTGTCGTGTGTGTGTGTTACAGACATTACAATAACAACAGATTTTTAAATAAACAATTGTAAATATTATGCATTTGAAACTGAGAAGAGGGTGCTAAAGTGGAACGCAGAGACAGATTAGATTACACTAGATTGAATCCTATATCTAGTACAGCCATACGCCGCTGTGAAGCACACGTTTGTAAATCTGCTGTCATGGTTGACCGCATAATATTATAATTTAGCCAGATTTAAAGCGCAGTGATTGATATAGTGCTAAGAGCATCCCTTCTCTGAGGCAATTAAGATTTAAACGCGTTGTGTTAAATGTTTTAATGACGTGCGCCGCCCTTAAATAAGTCACGAAGTTTCAGATGCATTAAAAATTATAATGGCGTGGAATAAGACTAAGAAACAACTACTAACTAACACCAACACACAATCCACCCTCAATCCGAAGCCAACTTAACACTAAATTATACTAGCGGCACGCACGCACTGCGCACACACGGCCATGCACGCACGCACCGCACGCAGCTACCCGCGCACACACTGCGCACGCACGCACGCACTCGTACATATTTATTCGTACCTTGAGACGATGTTCTCTCCGGGAAGCCTTGCGTAGTCCTTCATACCAGATTGGCACGCGAGGAGTTTGTTGTGCAATTAGGGTGCGATACGGAACTGAAATAGCCTGCCAGTAGCGACACACAGCCAGCATTAATGTATATATATATATATATATATTATATTATATAATATTATATATTATATATAGTATATATATTCATAGAGAGATGAGAGAGAGAGAGGAGAGACGAGATGAGAGAGAGATGAGAGAGAGGAGAGACGAGAGAGAGAAATGAGATGAGCGAAGCGCGAAAGAGGGGAAGATATACTATATATTAACGCGCAGTTTGTCCGTGGTCGCTCTAGCTGTAGATGCTAGGGCTGTACGTTCTATGTGTGTGTGTGGTGTAGTGTGTGTGTGTGTGTGTGTCGCGTGTGTGGTGTGTGTGCGTGCGTGCGTGCGTGCGTGCGTGCGTGTGCGTGTGTGTGTGCGTGTGTGTATGTGTGTGCATGCGACAGACGGCATACACGCACGCAGTCACAGACTACATACTGTCTACATGGACAATCACTTGTGCACACCATGTACCGAGCTGGTGACTGCTGGCGGTGGCACGATAGGGAATCGGGAGGCGCATGCCTAGCGAACCTTTACACGCATGTCTTCAAACGAACATTGATTAAAAAAACACCGGAAAAACGATGTTGACATTTTCAATTGGATAAAAAAACTCCGAGCGATGTCGTTCATCTATTAGATGACTTTGCGTTCGTTTGCGCGCTGAAATCCGAAAAATGACGGTCCCGCTGTGCAGACTGATACAGGATGTATAGACACGAATTCCTATTCAGTCCACGAGGAGGGGCGGTGAATCAACCACCCGCGCTCGCCCTACCACAATCCCCCGTGATGGCCTCCATAGCTAAGCTGTCGAAGCTCTCTCAATGTTAAATAGACCGCGGTAGACTAACAGAGAGAAAGAGTAAGGGGTGGAGACGCTTGATTTAAAAAAAGAGAACGACAGACAGGGGGAGAAGGGTGTGCCGAAGAGGATTACAAAACGGAAATAAGGGCAGTAGTCGTGAGATGGCGGGTGAAACGTCTATCGCAACGTGACAGGACAGAAGAAAGAAAGCGGCGAAGAAATACCGGCGGGAAAAGATCGCAGAGAGAGCAGACACTCATTCCTAATATACAATTCCTAAATACGGAGGTAAATACGCACTCGGACATATCGAACGCATCTAACGGGATAACATTAGCGACGCCGACGCAGACGTTGACGATACCTTCTTCTGCTTGTACTTGATGGCGAGCTTTAGCCTGCTCAGGGTCACCCTGTCCTCGTTCTCGCTCATCTGGCTGCCCGAGTCGTGGTTCAGCACGATAGCCAGCTCCTGCGACGTCCGCGTCTGGTCTAACAGCGCTGTCGCAAAAGTCTGCAAAGTAAAGCGGTGACGTCACACTCATCGTCAACGTTACTCCGCGACAACGTTAGTCGTCGTCATAGTAATTACGTAATCATTAGATAATTATAGATTCATTACGTAATTTTTGGGTTGGAAATTATATGAATAATAATTATATAATTATTTTAATAATTATATAGATTAATAATTCGATATGTAATATTCGACGATTACTTAATGGTTGGTTACGTAATTATTGAATAATTGATTTCTCACGTGTAATTATTAAACTGAATCATTAACTATTAGTTACTTATTTTTGCGAGTTCGGAAAATAACGGTTTTAATTAAATATCCTTTTATTAACGTTTTTACGGGTTGTGAAGCTTAATTTTGATGTCAAAGATTATTGTGATGATCAAGAAGATTGCTGTTTTTCAATCATTACCACTGCGTGACCGTTAATGCTGCGGTAAATACTTATTGCAACCGACGACAAAGAGATGATGTATAAACCCCGGAGACTGATGAATGCAGCTGCTTTCCGTAAGTCGTCCAGTAATAAAGATCTCACCGAAAGCACGATGAAAGACATTATTGTTGAGATTATTGTGCGTCTGCTTTGCTTCCATGAACCTGTGTGATATGTCGAGGGAGAAGATGGGAGCGGCCACCCCCCCTCCCCTGGGAGCGGAGATCAGTAAGTTGCTGTGTTATCGAGTGACATTGCCAAGGTTGTCGTCTGCTAGTGACGTTGCTAGTGCTGTTGTCATCTAGTGATATTTCCATGGTTGTTGTGATCTAGTGAAACTGACAATGTAGTTTTCGTGTAATGACATTGCCAAGGTTGTTGTCATGTAGTTATGTTGGCAATATTGCAGTAATATATGGATATTACCAGGGGTCACTAATGACAAACGTGTCATGAATTTTTTTTTCATTATTCACCGCTGATATTATCAATGGTAATGGCGCTATTGCTAATGTTAATGAGTGATATATAGACATCAAGTTTCAAAATATCTGACACTATGTTACTGATCATGAGTGGCCGACATCGACTAGTGCTGTTGGCAATGCTGTTGATCGGCGAACATTAAGCGTTAAGATGCAAGACGTCATGTTACTTAGTGTCACACACACGTCCAGGCCTATTACCAAAGTTGTTGCCTGACAGACATCCAGATTTACTCTCTAGTACTATTCTGACGCACGAGAAGCGAGCTGAAAACAGCAGTGCGTCAACGGTGACCGCCGAAACACGAGGGAGAGAATCACAGATGCAATAAACGAACCTAATTGAGAAATCGTCGTTTCTCGCTACCGATGGTCGGAGGTTCACCGTATCAATAGCATCGCAATCATGTGCGAACTATCACCGGTGTATGCATCGGTCGCAGTCATGCTCACGAGAAAGCTTATACAAACATGCTCTCATCGGAGAAATTGCACATAAAAGTTGCCCGCTCTGTTCATCCAGGTAGCAGTGAGGCAAAACGCATACGATACAAAAACGAGAATAATAACAAGAACAAGAACAGGAATCGTGCGAAAACTAATCTATCTAATATATATATATATATAATATTCTGACTATCTAACTACGCGCACACGCTTGCTCCACAACACACGTACCTGGCACTTCTCTGACAGCTCTTCGTACTCCAGCTTAAACTCGTTCTCGATACGACTCAGATACTTGAGCTCCCAGCTGAGGTCGAAGGCGGCGAGTATCGGATCCTCTTGCGAGAGAGCGATCAGACACGGGCTCGATAAGGCACGGTAGATATTCAGGCGCGAGCGCGAATGTCGTAGACTGTCCTTGGTGTTGTTCCACACGCAGTTATCACAGCCGCAGCGCACGTCGTGGGGAAGGTCTATACTCCAGCCGCGGTCGAGCAGGATCTTGATGATCTCGTAATTGTCTCGGTGCGCGGCGAGAATGATCGGAGTGATGTCGGGCGTAAACGCACTCTCCCGACCATCGTAAGGTGGCGGCACCAGCGCCTCCTGCCAAATATGCGCAGTCGGTATTGAATGCAGTGACGTAGTGCATACAGTGTGAATACAGCGACAACTCATTACGTAAAGTGTCTGCATAGAGAAAATCCTGACACTATTCATAACCCCGACGACACCCCTAACCACAACCATAGCAGTAACCCTCACCCTTACCGTAAACCTAACCTAGCGCTCTCTCTAACCCCTAATGCTCTCCCTAACGTTCTCCCTAACCACCCTAATGCTAACGCTAATCCTAGCCCTACCCTTAACCATAATTCTGACTTAAATCCTAAGCACAACTTTAACCCTTATCCTAACTTCAACCCTTACTATAACGCGGCGGTCGCAACCGCAGCAACCGCAAGAGCGATTCGTTCGTTCGGGTTGGTTCGGTTTGGTTCGGTTTGGTTCGGTTTGGTTCGGTTCGGTTTGGTTCGGTTCGTTTTGGTTCGCCAGCGTGTATGTCGGGAGGCGGTGGCAGTGGATGGCCGAGATGCCAGTGAGGAGGAAGAGGAGGCGGAGTCGGAAAACCTTCACCCTTATGCAAATTCCTGCCGCGGTCTTTCCGCACGCACGCAGTCTCCAGGGTGTGGGCGCATTGCATTAACTTCACCCAGAGCCGTATATAAAGATATATATATATATAGTCTATATATACGGCTCTGACTTTGCCGCTCGCGTTGAATGTGAGGACGCGAGATGCGGTAATACAGGCGTGAATATACGGTGATGTTGGGGGAAAGCTGAGAGATAAACCTCGGTGAAACGCACCTCCGTTACAGCGTGGATGACATCGGCTCAGCGTGTGCGCACACGGTAATTCATATCAAATCCCCAACAGCCTACAACAATAGCTTGCCCGCGCAAACGGTGAAAGAAGGGGGAAAGAAAGGAGCGACGGCAAAGAGAGTGATAGAGTGAGAGAAATGGAGGGAAAGACAGGAAGAGAAAACGCGAGAGAGCGAAGAAGAGAGAGAGCAAGAGAGAGCGAGAGAGAAAGAGAGAGAGAGAGAGAGAGAGAGAGAGCGAAGGAGAGTGGGAGGGCGAGAAAGCCAGAAAACACAAAAGAGAGTGAGAGAGAAAGAGAGGAAGAGAGATAGAGGAAGAGAGAGTGAGAGAGAAAGATCTATATAAAAAGTTGGAGAGGGCGCGAGAGCGAGAGCACCTTTGTTAAAAAACCCTTGCCTTACCGATGAAACTCATCTACACAGCGATTCATCCCAACACGGGAAACAAACACACAACGTCTGCGGAAATAATATCTTCACTCGGCGGGAGTATGCGCCACCAGGCGGTCATTGTAGCGGGAGTATGCGCCACCAGGCGGTCATTGTGGCGGGAGGTGGCCGCACGCAAATATACTCGACATTTGACTTGCATGAACTATATATCGATATTTTTTACTTCATACCGAATTCGTTATAATTCAGTGTCTGCCAGAGTTAATTAAAGAATGCCACTCCCGTTCCTCAAAATCCACCCTCTTTCCTCTCTCTCTCCTCTCTCTCTAATAAATAAATATATATATATATATATATATATATATTATGATTGTGTTCCGTTCTCTCTCTCTCTCTCTCTATCATCATCTCCTCGTCTCCTCTCTCTCTCTGCTTTCTCTCTCTCTCTCTCTCGCATTTCTTTCTGCTCTCTCTCCCCCTCTCTCTTTTCTCTCTCTGTTCTCGCTGTCTCTCTCTCACTCCGTGTACGCGTCTCATGCAACGCAGATGCATGCTCGCAGATCGCTAGTATATGATCCACCCCCGTGAGCACGTGTGTGTGTGTGTGGTGTGTGTGTGTGTTGTGTGTGTGTGTGTGTGTGCTGTGTGCGTGTGTTGTGTGTGTTAGGGCGTAAGAGCGCGAATGTGAGCGAGTGAGAGCGAGAGCGAGAACGGAACAGAGAGAGAGAGAAAGAGAGAGAGAGAGAAAGAAAGAAAGAAAGAGCGAAAGAGAGAGAGAGAGAGAGAGAGAGAGAGAGAGAGAGAGAGAGAAGCAGAAAGAGAGAGAGAGAGAGAGAGAGAGAAGAGAGAGAGAGAGAGAGAGAGAGAAGAGAGAGGAGGAGGATGTGAGAAGCTCGGATTTTTAAAACTTGGGTCAAGACCGCTTCGAATATTATAACAAATTCGGTAAAGTAAAAATATCGATATATAGATAATATACTAGTAAGTCGGTACATTCAGGCAGGCGTCTGCTATCCACTGAAAGCAAGTTTGGCACTGTCATCGATCAGCCAGCCTTTGTTAACCACTGATCTCCTCTTCTCGTTCTCTCTTCTCTCTCTTTCTCTCTCTCTCTCTCTCTCTCTCTGGCCTCTCTCGTTTCTCTCTCTCTCTCTCTTCCTCTCTCTGACGTCGTCTCTCTGTCTCTCTCTCTTTGTGTTGGTCTCTTCTCTCTCGGATCTCTCTATCTCTCTATCTTTCTCTATCTCTTCTCCTCCTCTCTCTTCGTTCTGTCTCTCGTCTCTCTGTCTCTCTGTCTCTCTCTCTCCTCTGTCTCGTTCCTCTCTCTTGCTCACTCTCCTCTCTCTATTAATTTATCTCCTCGCTTTCTCCTTCTGCGTCTCTGTTCGCTCTCTCTCTATATATATATATGTATATATATGTATGTCATCATTATGTATGTATATATATATATATAATATATATATATTAATATATCGACCCGCTAGCGCAAAATAAGAAACTATTACGAAAACTGCGTCACCGATCAGTTCTCGCCAGGTCAGTAATATAACGATCATTTACCGCACACTGCCTCTACTACGGACATGGACTTCAACAGAAATATATCAATTATAACATATATACTATATTAAAAACGCATTACATCTGCTAACGATGCTACCTGAGTTGCCTTTCACATAGTTACCTCCGCCAAGGGGTTGGCAGGAGGTTATGTTTTCATCGGCGTGTGTTTGTTGGTTTGTGTACAGCCTAACTCAAAAAGTTATGGACGGATTGTCATAAAATGTTCAGGAAAAGTCAGAAATGGGCTAACTTAGAATTTATGAGATTTTGGTTGTGATCCGGATCCAATTAATTAATAAAATTTTCAGGATAGTTCACAAATGGGATAACTTAGAATTGATTACATTTTGGTGGTGATCCGGAATCAATTAATTATTTAATTAATTAATTAATTAATTAAACTTTTCACAGTGAGAGAATTCAGCTGCTTTGGCGGAGGTCTGCGCTCTCCGAGTGCTCTAGTTTTTACATATTGATTCATACTATTATTGCGCAAACTACCTTACAGTAACAGCACACTACAGTTTCTAAACGACGGAGGGTGTGAGTTACGACAGGTAAATACAATACCTGAGATCCCCGCTCTTTCTTCTTCTCCTCTTCGTAGTTTAGTAGCATCTCAACAGCTTCCACGTTTTCTTCACTGAAAACACGACAACGAACGCAACGTTAGCATTCACACTACACTACCCATACGTAGTGTACTAATGTATATATGTACGTTTGTACATGTATAATGTACATGTATAATGTACACGTGTACGTAACGTTATGCCCATGTATAATGTACATGTGTACGTATGTACAAGTATAATGTACATGTGTACATATGCACTTGTATAATGTACGTACATGTGTACGTAAGTGCAAATGTATAATGTACATGTATTATACGTATGTACATGTATAATGTAAATGTGTACGTATGTACAAGTGAGTAATTTTCCTTGATGTACATGTATAATGTACATGTACAATGTACATGTGTTTGCACATGTACATGTATAATGTACATGTATAATGTACATGTATAATGCACATGTACAATGCACATGTGTACGCATGTACATGTATAATGTACATGTACAATGTACATGTGTACGCATGTACATGTATAATGTACATGTATAATGCACATGTACAATGTACATGTGTGCGTATGTACTGTACTAAGCTGTACAATACACACTACGCAGACTACGACTCATAACAAACTTTATGTCTCTAACGTACGTAACAACATAAGAAAATTCTCGTCCAAAGACCGCTAAAATCTTTTTCGGATGGTCTATAAAAGGATCTGTTAGCCATGCTTCGATTACACTCTTACACTGGACTCCCCAAGCAGTAATATGAGTAGTCAGCAACTGTTTCAATCTGGGGAAGGGGGGTATTTTTGTAGAGGTATATATGTTTTAAGGTGGGATGAAGAATTTATAATCTGAGATAACAGAATATTTATTGTAATTGAAAGAAACGTTAGAGGAAATTCGCTATATACGCGGGAGATACTTATCTTCCTATGCATGTAGAAGCATTCACTATAATACGCATGATGCTTTAGGCGAAAGTGATTCTTGAGTGATAGAAGGAAATGCGGGGAACCTACTGTCTAGGAACTATCCCTCGAAGCAGTCGTGCGCAAGCACAGCGGATTCGATACAGCCAGAGAAACACGCAACTGCGTTATGACGCAAGAAAGAACTCGACAAGAGTTAAAAACAAACGCGAATGAAATGCAGTGAAGCAAACGCGCTTAGACACGTAATATATACTCACGGAAGATTTACGAACGATGCTCATTGGTTAACTGTTATTGACAGTTTTCTATAAGCCGTACATTCACGATGAGATAAACTCTCAACTCTCTCTCTCTCTCTCTCTCTCTCTCTCTCTCTCTCTCTCTCTCTCTCCTAACTCTTACAACTCTCTATAACTACTCTCTATAAGCCGTACATTCACGATGAGATAAACTCTCAACTCTCTCTCTCTCTCTCTCTCTCTCTCTCTCTCTCTCTCTCTCTCTCTCCTAACTCTTACAACTCTCTATAACTACTCTCTCTATTGCAGTCAGAGAGAAACGCCAGCTTTAAGTAGCTATAAGAAACTAACATCTATAAGAAAAGTCCGTAAAATGCTCGGCGGGGAATTTGATTCATTCTTCGTCTCTTCCTCTCCCTCCTCCCAAGACTTAATTACCCTTCATTAACCCGACGTACATTGTTCTCATTAGAATACGCAATAGCTGGTTATTCCTGACGCATCGATTATCGGTTAGTTGAGTCCCCGAAGGAATTAAGATGGCCAGTGGCGGCACAAGAGAGGTGCGGGGGTGACACCATTAGAAGGGGGAGGGGGTGACGCCAAACGTCTATGCAGTGTTTTAGCAAAAAAAATTTGCTACTCTGCCACAAGTTGCGACTCTGCCAGCATCACCGAAGGATCTTGTCGGATGCGCTTTACTACCAAAAAATAATAGCTAGGGAAGCGATTGCGTTCAATGAGCTAGCTCGCACACCGGTGCCTGGCGTATGACCATGGATGAGTAGCGAGAAAACTGCTTCTAGTCCGTTTCTATGAGTTATCTCTAGAAGTTTCTAGTTCTGTTCTTGTTCTAACCGTTTCAAGTTTCAAGTTTCTACTTTCAAGATTCTAGTTCCGTTTTAAGTTTCAATTTCTGGTTCTGTTCTAGTTCGAGCCATGTCTAGTCGTTGGCGATGACACGGTTGACCGCTGTAATGTCGAAAGCCAATCATAAAATGGTTTTATCGTGGACTCAGCTGAGGCAGCAGGACTCACTGAGACAGCAGGACTCAGCTGAGGCAGCAGGACTCAGCTGAGGCAGCAGGACTCAGCTGAGGCAGCCGTGGACTCACCTGAAACAGCAGGACTCAGCTGAGACAGCCGTGGACTTAGCCGAGACAGCCGTGGACTCAGCTGAGGCAGCCGTTGACTCAGCTGAGGCAGCCGTGGACTCAGCTGAGGTAGCAGTGGACTCAACTGAGACAGCAGGACTCAGCCGAGACAGCCGCGGACTCAGCAGAGTCAGCCGGACTCAGCCAAGACAGCCGTGTACTTACCTGAGACAGCAAGACTCAGCTGAGACAACAGGACTCAGCTGAGACAGCCGTGTACTCACATGAGACAGCCGTGGACTCACCTGAGACATACGTGGACTCACATGAGACAGCAGGACTCACCTGATGGCGTGTAAGAGAGCGTCTCCGAGCTCCACACCGCTGTTAAGAAGCAACTCTAGCATTTCCATGTTCTCGTTCTCGATGGCTATGAGAAGTGCCGAGCGGCCGAGCGGGTCGACGCAGTTCGTGTTCATCTCCCCTAGCGACCGCACAGCGTCCTCGAGGAACTGCTTCACCTGCGGAACACAAGCGTTTCCGGTTAGGGCTTTTTTAATTAAAAAAGAAGAATTTTTTTCCCGTTTTTTTTTGGTTATATCTCAGGCCGGTTGTGGGAGTGATGATGCGAGCTGGGAAAACATGGCTGAGAGTTTTTTATACCGGTTTTTTATTATTATACGCGTTGGTTATTGCGATTGTATCTATAGGTCTCGGTGTTTTGCAGACGCAGATATGGTTGACATGACATGGAATAGATGGTTATTACGTGGTCACGCGACGGCTGATGATGTGATGCAACGCGCAAACGATGTGACTGCGTAGAAACCACGTACACAATTCCGTCACATCCGATTAAAGTGATGTTTAGAATAAATACTACATTACGAAATCGGTTTTCAGCTGCAACGCGGCGAGCGAAAAGTTGGCCGACCTATCAACTCGCGCGGTTTGCCGGCGACGCATTATTACAGCTTTATTTAGTTAGTCTGAATGACGACATCACCGCTGCTGCCAAGGTCACATCATGCGACGACCACCATCTCCTCGGCCCGACTCTTGCTATTTGCATTAGCAGCGGGGAGCCGTTCTTGTTGCTACTTATATTATAGAGTCGGCTTGTCAAATTCGCGTGCACAGGCAAAGCCTGTCGAGCGGGTAAGACGTCGATATGTGGCCCGAAGCCAGATCGATGTCGTGGTGGTGGTGGTGGGCTCGGCTGGGTTCTTATACTAAATACGATGCTGGGCGCACGCACGAGGCTCTTAGTTTTCGAAGAGAACCGGGCGCGGTGTAGTGTTTTGTGCGCGTGTGTATTGTGTGTGTGGTGCGGTGCGTGCGTTATGCGCAAGTACGGGTGGGGTGGTTGGTGTATGGATTCGCAGTACGTGCGAGTGCGGGCTTATATGTAGCGTGATGTTGTATACATGACTTCGCTATATATTAATAATAAATTCGTTATAAATTCATCTATAAATAATATTCGCAGTAGTGATAGAAGTATATGTATGTAGTTGTATGTAGTAGTATGTAATGTATATAGTTGTATTGTAGTTGTGTATTGTAGCGTGTATGCCGTATATAGACTTACATGTAATTCATTATGAATTTAACTATAAATGTAATCTTCACAGTAATCCAATGAAAGGAAATGACCGCATCAGTGACGTCACGCGCTTACCCTCGGCATGTCTCCGTGCTCGACCGGCGAGGGAAACCTTTTTCTCTTCATGTTTCAGCTCCCTCTCCTTGCGCACCATGTTGGAGTCCGATGACAGTCACCGTCGCCATCTCCCGACTCGGAATCCATCTTGGATTTGAACACCTCTCCGACGAGGTGTCAAACTGGCGAACAAGAAGAAAAGGAATTCGGTTAGAGCGGTCGCGAGTAGTGTGAAACGAACACACACGAACGCGACGCACGCACGCACACACGCACACACGGCGCGCGCGCACGCACACACACACACACGTGCACGCGCACAGCGCACACCCACACCACACACAACACACACACACACACACGCGCGCGCCCCCCCCCCCACACACCACACACACACACACACCACACCGCACACACACACACACAGCGAGTCAAAACAACGGCTATTTTTCTCTTCTTTTTTCTGTCACTGCGCACTTATAGTCACGCGATCACAGCTTTCACATTTTGCATCGACCAGAGGATGTGACTGTACATAATTGTCACTTCTGCACGCTGCCCCCCCCCATGTGTGTGTGCTAGTACCAGAGACACATAGTATCGCCCACCGCACGTATGTTGATTGCTTCGATGTAGTCACATAATTATAATGGCTACTATTTCACTCACGGTCGAGCAGGTTTAACGTTGTCAACATCAGAGCCTTACGCTGGCATAGAGGAGGTATTACACACACACAGCACGAAGCCATACACTCCCACGCATTAATACGCACCGCCCCGCACACAACACCACGCACGTACGCACACGCGGCGCCCGGTACGCACGCACGCACGCACGCACGCACACACACAGACGCCACATACAACACACAACACACACACACACAACACACACCACACACACACACGCAGCACGCAATACACACACGACCGCGCGACACGGCTACGGCACGT